GGGCATTTTCTATTCTGTTTAGGATTTCTTTTACGTGTACGAAGTTGAGTCTAACAACGCCAAAGCAATATTTCTTCTTTATTTTAATTGGCCTTGAGTTTTTGTCCAGCAGTGTATATGACAAAATTAATAAGTATAAGGATCTTGAAAATGAAAGATTAAGACTCGTTAAATTTACTGTTCACATTATATTAATTGGGGATTTTAAAAAAGTGAAACTTTTCCTTTCCAAAGTAGAGTATTATTAATTCAAATATAAATATGAATAACGCAAATGTTAAGTGTTCGAACATCAGAATTTGTACACAAAATGAATATATTGACGACCTTGTCTTACCCAGAGCTTCCATTGATGAGCCTATAAGGGATTGTAACAAAAAACGGTGATAATAATAACAACAATAATAAGATTGTTTACTACTTACCATGTTTATCTAAGTCTAGCACAATGAGTTATGTATTTAAATTTTCGGCACCCAAACTGAAAGATTTCCAAATCCAGCTTCTAACTAATATGGGAAGAACCCCTTCCTGACTGGCCGATAAGAGGAAGTGTAGCCGTACTCACCACACTTGGTTGGTTAGGCCTTTTAACCTATAGCTGGAAATTTTGAATTGAGGGTCGTCTTTTCCTAGATCGGTTGACACCCAAAGCTATAAGACAGTCTATCCTACTATCTACCTATAGCCGGAGGAAGAAGAGATGTATTTCATAAATTTCCTAAGTGTATTGGCACGTAAGTAAATGTAACGGTGTCGACTAGATTTCAAACTAGGCTCTTCAATTTCCCAATCCGTGCCACTATCATTAAATCCGTTGTCCAACCTGAATTATTTACATTAAGTATTTTCGACATCTGAATTGAAGGGCCCGCATGAAAATTTTCAGTATGCAACCTGAATGAATTAAAACTAAATGTTCGACAGAACCCAAGTATTAGTATTAAACCATTTCGTCATCCGAATTAAATGATTTGTGTTTAAAATTTTCGGCAGCTTATCGGAACTGTTTGCATTAAAAAAAATTAAGGAACAAGTTTTTTTTTATGTTTACAGTTAATCATTCAGTATCCGATCTGTAGCTTACAGCTATATCACGTTGAAACACCCGTTCTCGTACAAACACCGAATTTAAGAAGCGTCGTGTCTGGTTAATAACCAGATAACTGACCGGTTAGAAATACAAGATTTTGCAAACTTTAATGTGTGGGTGGTGTAATGGATAACTGATTGCAATTAGAAATCGAAGACCGTGTTCCAATTCCAATTGGGGTTCGTTAAATTCATTTACGCGCAAAGACCCTTGAAAAAGATACAAGTCCATCTCTTCTACCCCCAGCTATAGATTAATTAGTAGAAATTGTAAGTCATTATTATATTGAAAAATTTCTCACAATCCAAATATATTTCATAAGACGTAAAAACGAATCAGTCAATAGATATCTGAAAATTTTGCATTGAAAATTCCGGTGCATACACTTAATACTTGGTATTAAGCATTCTTCAGACTAAATATTTGCGATTTATTTTAAAAATTACTGAAGCTAGTTTGTTTTATTCGCGTTAAAAATTAGTATAATTATTGTCTGAACAATGTAACTAACATCAGAGTTATTGATCGAACAGAATGATTTGCGTGAAATTCCTTGCCAACAAACACCAACTAATGGCTTTGATTTAGGCATTAATGCGCTTGTCACCACGCCAGGTATCCAAACATAATCTGCCGTTAACAGTATAGGGAGATTGGATCAAACATTAGCTGTACAGTATGAAATTTCCTCAGGCAGGTTAACAGGCGGTCGAACCAGCTGCGCTTCGTATGCACATGAATAGGACAAACGGAGGATAGGTAGGTACATAAGTTTCCCAAAAGAGAGGGATGAGACGGGGAGACGCTCCCAGTTCAAGTTCCTACGAAGCTCCTACAGACACAGACACACAGTCCGGGGGGGGTGAATAAACAATAATTTCACACTTAACAGATGTACACTGGTATCATTATGAGCAGTTCGGACAACAATTAAGTTACAGCTGTTTTTTTTGTTTTTTTTATTTATAGTTACCTTTCTTATTGAATTTATTCCGTATAGTTTGAAATAAATTTTCATCATTGAATTACGTGCACTGAGATAGAAAATGTTTTAAATACACACACGAATATATGTATATACTCGACTCTCCCATCGAGTTCGACGTATGAGGGTCAAGCAGATCAGTTCCCAGGAAACCGACAGCCCGACAACAGCACACGAGATTTGATTATAGTGGTGAAGGTTTCGTACAGGACCATCCACATTTTTTGAAGGGCCGAATACAGAGACCTGGTGCATCGAGTGCCACAAGGTCCCCAAACGATCCTCCGCAGGTTTTGAATTCAGAGTTGTCCTTCTCCTAGTCCAGTTGCCATCCAAGGCTATAGAACCCAGTCTGTCCTGCTATTTACCCATAGCTGGAGGGAGAAGAAGAGGATTCACACCTTCCCCAAGAGTATTAGCACGTAAGTGAATGTAATTTCGAACTCGGATCTCCGATTCCTCAACCCAAGCTGCTATCCATTACTACACTGTGCATGCATATATATATATATATATATATATATATATATATATATATATATATATATATATATATGTATGTATCTATCTATATATATATATATATATATATATATATATATATGTATGTATGTATGTATCTATATATATATATATATATATATATATATGTATGTATGTATGTATCTATCTCTCTCTCTCTCTATATATATATATATATATATATAGAGAGAGAGAGAGAGAGAGAGGGAGAGAGAGAGAGGAAGAAAGCGACAAAAATAACGCCCTTTCTTTCGAGCTAAGTTGGATCACGTGGAGTAACAGAGTGGCCATCATTATCACCAGAATTAACACCACCAGAATTTTTCTTGTACAGTCTACTGAAAGATCTTGTTTACAGGCCCAAACCGAAAACAATTCCTGAAATAAACAAGGAATTTCTGATAAACTTCCTGAAATTATTTTAGAAATGTGTCAAATACTTTGAGAACGTTTTGCTAGTAGGGTTCAGCGTTGTACTGAACATGATGTGAAGCATTTTGTAAAAATTTAAATAGTTTGTTAATCATAACAAATCCCGGTGGGTTATTTGTCGAAGTGTATTGCTAATGCGCTTGTTATTAGATAAATTAAGACTTAATAGCGGGTTCGATTTTCACTTGGTTTGCCATATTTTCGTCCTTGTGTTACATCTAAGCGTCAACATAACAAATCAAGTTGTTTTGACGTAACAATAATTTTCTTAAACTATCATATGTGGACTCTTCCACAACAAACTAGTAACCCCTACTGGGAAATGCACAATTCCTGTTATAATTTTCACCATCACAATATTACAAATATATAACAAGTATTCATTGGTCAATCACCTTCACTCTAGCTTGATGATTGGTCAGTTCCGACCAATCAAACCGCCTGCACGCGACCAATTTGTTTTCCCGCTCAATATGCTAGGAGCCTCCCACGTGGTACACGAATATTATAAAAACAGAACACGTATAAGCTCCCTGAAGTAGTTTCTTTTCATTCCTTGCTACCAAGTACCAAGATGTAATCTTCAAGAACTCCCGTCCTAGCCATTGCGGTCAGACGTTCAAGACCATTACCAACATTCACGTAAGTACGAACACTGAAACCTCTTCTGAACTTTTACCAACTTTACAACTCACAATTCCAAACATGCTAAAGAAACTTTATTCTTCTAAATTACAGTTTAATATTACTTCCTTTTAATATGAACTCAGGTACAACTATTACCTAATCAAAGGGACATGACTCTGTCCTACCTTTTCAGTTCGCATGCATGTATATCAAATATTAATAAATTCAATTGTTATGTTTTGAAATCATTCCGTTCAGTTTTGTATCTTATACTATGTGCTATTTACGTCAAATATAAATTGCATTGCGTCCACGCATTGTCCTTAATACCACCTTTCCTAGCCAAAGTTAAATATTAGTAATACAATCACTACAATATTTTTCCCTGAATCTATATCCTTTTGTAATTATTTTACGATTACCAAATATTATCATTATATATATATATATATATATATATATATATATATATTGTTATGGGGTCCACCCTTTTTCATACAAGTGGACTCGACCAGTGTGTATTTGTACTACTGCCGGTGAATACCCGGAAGTCGGAAGTGGTAGAGTGATAGAGAAAGTAAGAGTGTGAGTTAACCGCTTTGTAGGAGTCACAGTTGCGAGCACGTAGACTCAGACGGAAGTCCTACTTCGATACTGAATTTCCCAGACTGTATATATATATATTATTATTGCTACTAACCGCATTTCTTGATCGACTAACCGTATTACCAATTGTATTATTACGTCAATACATTTATTTGCTATATTTCATTCCTGCGTTTGTCATTCATTTGAGACCGGATTTCATCCTGAATCCAACATATATATATATATATATATATATATATATATATATATATATATATGATAAAATAGATTTTTTTTATTAATTTCACAGATTTTTTCGTCTTAAATGTTATAGTTATTTATTTATTAAAGATTACATTTATTTATTTACATTCATCCGCCTAAATGTTCGAAAAATCTTATTTGTAGGTCACAAATTTTTATTTAATAAAAGTCAAATTCGAGTATCCGCTATTAAGTTTAAGGGACGGGTCCCAAGTCCTACCCGAGGGAAAGGGAAAAATGCCGAGTTTGCCGCAGATTTTCCACAGGCGCATTGGCTGAGCGATCTGAGGCCGCCAGTTGCCGGAACAGACACCTCCTGGATTTTCACTTTAGCCACTTTAGCGGTCCTAATACCGCTGGGTGCAAGACCAACCTGCCTCGGGTGGCCCCTACCAGCGGAGGAGGACAAGAACATCTTCTACCGCCACCTACAAGCAGTTGTAGATCATACCCCTTCCACTGATCTTCTAGTGGTGGCAGGGGATTGGAATGTTCGCACAGGACCGGCGGATGAAAGCATTCGCCCTCGGAACACGGTGTGACAATGGCGACCACCTAGTCAACTTTGCAGTCGCTAATCGTCTTGTGGTGACTAACACTTGTTTCCAGCAACCGCGACGACATCTCGTCACCTGACGCTCCAATGACTGTCGTATATCCAACCAGATTGACTACATTATAGTACGGGCGAGATGGGCAAGATCTGTATTTGACTCTCGAGCCTATTGCGGTGCAGATACGGGCAGTGTGCATGGATCGGATCATACACTTGTCCGCGCAAGCCTCCGTCTGCGACTGCGGGCAAGGAGATCCACCAAGATCCTGAAGCGAATCAAGGTCGCCAATCTGAAACTGCGTGCGGGAGAACATTTCGGGTTGGAACTTCGCAATTGGTTCTCTCTCCTCCATCCAAGCTCAGAACCTCAAGCAGAAACTGAATGGCAGGCTCTCAAATCTGCCACCGTCGAAGCGGCACACGCCCATCTTGGTGTCACCCGTCACCGATATCGGGACAGGATCAACGGGGTGATCCTTCGGCTGGTCGAGAAGGCGAGGGTAGCCAGACTGACGGGAGCTGCGAACTTTCGCGATCTACGGCGCCGCGCAATGCACCCCATCCGCGCTGACCGAAATGCGCATTGGCGCGACTTCGTCGAAGAGACTGAGCGTGCTTCAGCATGTGGCGACTCTCGCAAACTCTACCATAGGGTGACGCGGGCAAGTCGCGGAACTACGGTGGTGAGTGAGACGCTTCGCTCACCGGATGGTGCTATTATCGCAGGTCTGGGCGAGCCGCTAAATCGATGGAAAGAGCATTTTAACGAGCTACTCAATCATCCGACTCCGGCGAGGGAAGTGGCCGTTGAACCGACCGATGAATACGAGTGCAACACTGCACCCCCAACGGTAGATGAACTGCGAGATATTCTGCGCCATCTGCGGAACAACAAGTCTCATGGTGAGGATGGTATACCTGCAGAAGTATATAAAGCCTTTCCAGATGTATTCGCCTCGTGGGTGCATCGTGTCTTTAATGCGCTCTGGCTTTCTGAGACCTACCCTGCCGATTGGAGCGAGACCATCCCACGACCTTTTTTTTTTCAAAAAGGGTGATAGGAGACTCTGCTCGAACTACAGAGGAATTAGCCTCATCAACGTGATGGCCAAAGTATTTGCAGTGCTTCTCCTGCGAAGATTTTAACGCATCCGTGATCTGCGAACTCGCCCGTCTCAGGGTGGCTTCCGCCCAGGCAGAGGCCGTGTGGATCAGATCTTCAGCCTGCAGCGCACCCTCGAACGTTGAGCATACCAGCAGCCAATAGTCCTCTGCTTCGTCGACTTTGCGGCTGCTTTCGACTCCGTTGATAGAGGCTCACTCTGGCGTAACATGGAGGCCGATGGCATGCCCGCTAAACTCCTTCGTCTCATCAAGAGCTGCTACCGGTCGACGCGAGCCCGTGTTTGTGCTTATGGTGAGGAGTCGAAGACGTTTGAGATGAAGACTGGTGTGCGGCAGGGGTGTACCCTATTCCCTACCCTATTCAACTATATCATTGACTACATCCTCGAGAAGGCCCTTCGGGACTACGGTGGAGTTGCGGTAGGTCGGAATGTCTGGGTGTCTGATCTGGCCTACGTAGACGATATTGTCTTGGTCGGATCGAACTGTGACGATGTGCAAGTTACGCTCAACCATGTGCAAGCTGCAGCACGGGATGTGGGTATGACCCTCAATGCCTCAAAGGTCTGCATTCGTGCGTCTCAAGCAGTCACTATGAGGGCGACGGGAGATTTCCACGGCTACGAAGGGGCGCATCTATCAAGCTATTAGTCGGGCTATCCTTCTCTATTGCTGCGAAACGTGGCCACTTAGAGCGGTTGACCTACGAAGGCTTGAAGTGTTCGACAACGATTGCCTTCGCTGCATTCTACGATGCCGCCGAATCGATCGTGTGCTCACAGCTACTCTGCGTCGTGGCCTGAGTATCCGTCCTCTTCCACCCGTCCTGTTCCAGCGTCGTCTCCGATGATTTGGGCACAAAGCTCGACGCCCGGAGGGAGAGCTCATCCACGATGTACTTCTCCCTCCTTCTCTTCATGGCTGGCGAAAACGTGTCGGTGGGCAGCTGAGGACGTGTGCTAGCACAATCAAGGATGACCTAGCAGTCCTATTGGGTCCACAAGTAGTTGGTCTTCGACGATGGAATCGCGATTGGTTCGCCCTTTCGTGTGACCAATGCTCAGGATCGGCGAGCGTGCGCTGCGATGGTCCGTGATGCTATACTTGCTCGGGAGGAAGCCGGTTCAACCCGACCAGGGTGAAAACCGATACAAGTCAAGAAAGTATACTACAACTGTCAGTCGTATGCAAATATCATATATATATATATATATATATATATATATATATATATATATATATATATATATATATATATATATATATATATAGTGGAACCAACAGCCCAGACACCAACACATATGATTTGATTATAGCGGTGAAGGTTTTTGTGCAGAACCAACCACACTTTTTTTTTTTTTTTGTTGCACTAGGACCACCGCAGGTTTTATAGTTTTCAGAGTTGCCTTCTCTTACACCAGTTGACATCCAATCCAGTCTGCCCTGCTATTTACCCACAGCTGGAGGAGAAGAAGACATTTAATAATTAAGGGTATTAGCAGTTAAGTGAATGTAATGGATTCGACTGTAATTCGAACTCGGCTCTACCGATTCCTCAGTCCGTGCTGCAATCCACCACTCCACTCCTCTCTCTCTCTCTCTCTCTCTCTCTCTCTCTCTCTCTCTCTCTCTCTATACACACGCACATATGTATAATGATATTTTGTTTTTGTTGCATGAAAAATTTCAAAGCAACGATTAATTCGTGTATACGAGACGCAGAAGCGAAAATCGCGTCGCAGTTCGTGGTCATGTGTGACGTCACGAGCTGCGACGCGATTTTTCCGCGAAACATGCATTTGCAGCCTAAAAGATACACAATATATATATATATATATATATATATATATATATATATATATATATATATTTATATATAAACAATTATTATCAGTACACTGTAATTGTCTGTTTTAGTCAATTAAGGCCACCGTCTCGACTGCGCCGACAATATACCAAGAAAGAGTATAGAGTCGGTTGCCGGTATGTTGTCAGTTTTTATAGATAACGGCTTTTTGGGCTTAACGCTGGGTTTTTAATCTGGATTTATCTCTGTAGCCCTTTCCTATATTCGAACCCTTGCCGGAGAAATGTTCGTTAGATCTGACTTGCTTCAACCTCTTGGCTAGGAAGAGCTTCGTGATTAAGCAAATATTAACTACGCTATTTGAATATTCAGACCGGTAGATGATATGAAATAATGTTTAAAATACTCGTTTAAAGTTATAGAAATATATCAGATTAAAAAATCCATTATTACTTCGTCCTTGACCGGGTACGCAGGAAGATAGGGCGCAAATCACGCAGTGCTTGTGTGATGGCCAAAAGTTCAACACATGCTCCGTACGTCCCGATCACGTGAATCACAGAAGGAGACCCTGATAGTGCCTGGAATTCACTCATGGTCAAACGCGAAATCTTGGAACCAGGTCATCCTCGCGTCGGGTCACTTCGAAGTTCACGGGCCCTTGGCTTGTGGGTGGAAGAGAGGATAAGGAGAGAAAGAATTTGTGAAGAGAAAAGGAAGGATATGGCTGATCATAGAATATATTCGCTCGCGAGTCGGAAGCATTGGATTAAATTTCTGTTTGTATTTATTTATTTATTTTTCTTTTATATCTAACTAGTTTTCTTTATTTAAGATTTTACTTTAGCCTAACGCCTATATGGTTAATGAAATCGTTGCTACGTGACACCTCCCTACCAAAAAAAAGAAAAATGCCATTAACGGCAGTTTTCTAAAAAAAAAAAGAAAAGTGATTGTTTTCGTCTCCTTCAGTTACTTATCCTCGGACCTCGGTGGACTCAGGTGCATGACTACGTCCACTGATCATTACTACAGGGTTGGTTTTTCCCCGTTCGTAATAGGGTTTGATTCTATCCACGTGGCATATTCGCCTCTGTCTACTATAGTCAGGAGTTTTCACGACGATTTTTAGATTACTGGTCCTTTCAAATGGATCATGAAACCGAGCCATGTTAGATGGACACATTAATCGTGTTCGGAAACGGGAAACATAATCTAAAAGACTCCCCGAAGCTAGATCTTCCTGTAATCAGTCCTTTTTCAATACATGTAAAGGACCGCGGACTGAATGTCCAAATATTAGTACAAAAAGGCTAAAGTCCAGAGTCACTTGAGTAGACTCTAGGGTAGCGAACATTAAGAATGCGATACCTACGTCCCACTCTTGTTGGTGGTCCAGGCAATATGTTCGCATCATATTCTTAAGGGTGGAATGAAAACCTTCCAATGCTTCTAGTAATTGGGGATAGTAGGCATTGGACTGAAGGGACTGTATACTTAGAATTTTCATGAATAATTCTGACATGAAATTAGGTACCTTGTGTAAACCTATCATGGCAAAAAAACTAACAAGAGTTTTCGCTGGCTTTACTACTGCCTGACAACCGTGGCGAGTCCGACAGGTTTCAGACACATCTGTCCGGATCCCCGGCCGATAAAAATGTTTGATAATCTTAACGTGTGTAATGTTAAGGTGACTCCCCAGTGGGGTCTCATGAGCCGTTCTCATTACCTCCGGTCTGTACCGTTTAGGGAGTACTACTTGGTGGACTGTCGACCAGTCTTCTGAGGCGGAGATGTGCGGGGGTCTCCACTTCCTCATTAGTACCTCATTCTTAATAAAGTATCCAGTTGGAACTTTCTCCAACTCATCCTCGGGCAATACGTGACGGAAGAGCGGGGTGAGCTCAGAATCACTCCCCTGCTCCGTTATAAGTTCTCTCCTCGATAATGGAATGTCCAGAGCGGGCTCAACAATACCATCGCTATTTCCAGTTGGGTTACTATCGGGAGGATAATTTAATCCCACATCAGGATTTATGAACGTCTGCGATAGGTCTATCACTTCGTCCTCTGTCCTATCGATTATCTCGTTTGTCTTTTCATCGGCCTTCTTTCTGGCCTGTGCTCTGGTCACTGCACACGAGGGAAATATATCGAGATTCTCTTCCTCGATATCTTCGGTGTCTACCGAAGCAACCGATTCCGGAACTACTTTGGGGTGGTATCACCCTACCACCCGCCAATTCGTTTCCTAACAGCATGGATATGCCTTTCATAGGCAGACTAGGAACTACTCCGACCTCGACAGGGCCAGAAACTAACCCAGACGTAAGGTGGATTCGATGAAGGGGGACGCTAACAAAGTTGCTGCTAACACCCTGTATGATAACAAATTCGCCAGTGGCCGAATACGATCCACACGGCACGAAGCTCTCCACAATCAGGGACTGAGTCGCCCCAGTGTCCCGCAAGATCTTCACGGATTTCTTCTTCGTGGGGTTATCAACGGGGGATACAGCACCATTAGAAACAAATGGCCTATACTCCTCCCTCACATCTTCATCATTGGGTTTCCTATTCATGGTAACGCTGTCGGAAGAAATTAGCCCTTGGGGTCTGTCTTGACTTAGGGCTCTGGACTCGGCATTCCGCTTCGTCCAACAATTCGACACGAGGTGTCCTACTTTATTCCAGTAGTGGCACATCGGGAGTTTTCTCTCTCTCCTATTCGTCTGCCGATAAACCGGTGAATGAGAACTAGGATTTTGAGATTTGGTATCTCTCGGACTGGGTAGTTGGCCTGAACTAACCGATCGACCAAACTTCGAATTCGGACCAGAACCAGACCCAGGTCTTGGGTGTGGACCGCTTCCAAACTCGGATGGGTTGTTATGACTGAATGTACCCCGCTTATGCGTTAACGCATATTCGTCAGCGAGGGTGGCCATCTCATATAAAGTATCTACCCTTTTTTCATCGAGGTAGGTTTTTAAATTATTAGGGACACTTTCTTTGAACTCCTCTATCAGGATCATTTGCCTTAGCCTATCGTGATCTGCCTCGATGTTTTTCGATAAACTCCATCTATCGAAATAGGTTTCTTTTTGTCTAGAAAATTCTACGTAAGTCTGTTTGTCTCCCTTTCGGCAGGCTCTAAATTTTTGCCGGTATGCCTCCGGCACAAGCTCATACGACTTTAAAATGGCTGATTTAACAATGCTATATTCAGCGCAATCTGCTACTGAGAGCGCGGCATATGCTTCTTGAGCTTTGCCTTTTAATGCGGTCTGCAGTAAAATTGGCCACTTTTCTATGGGCCATGCTAAGTTTGAGGCGACTTTTTCGAAATGCTGAAAATACTTGTCGACGTCAGCCTCGTTAAACTGCGGTACGAGTCAGGACTTGCTTCGCTAAGTCGAACTCACTACTTCTAGCTTCGTGAAGTTCCCGATTTTCGTCTAACTCCCGAAATCGAGTTTCTTGATCGATTCTGACCTTTGCGATTTCAGGCTTTGCTCTTTCAGCCTCGGCTCTGACCTTAGCCTCGGCCTCAATTTTCGCTTTCTCGAGCTCGAGTTGTGCCTACGAAAGTTCTGACGTGTCTAGTGATAATTTACTTAATTCTTCTACGTCGAAGACGTCATTATCTACCATATGTTCAGAGACTATCCTAACTCGCTGAGTTTTCCTCATAGACTTCGTTACCTCTAGTTCTAATTCCTTCCCTATTTCAACTATCTCATCCTTCTTAAGTTTACATAATTTATCCATAGAGGGTGATGCTAGGAAGCTATCTATAACCGACATCTTGGCCTGTAGTTCGCCGATACCCTGAAGCTGTGCGATTCTTACTGAGCGAAAAAACAGAGAGAAAATATTCTCGGAACGAGCCTCCAATTTTATATGTTACGAACTTGTAGCATATAGATGAACCACGGGTTCTAAAAAAAAAGGAAAACGTGGTTTCTTTTCTCGGTCTTCACTCAGAAATGGAAGCGACACAAGGGAGTCAACGAAGAACAGACACAAGACGATGGATTTCAAAATAAAACATTTATTTATAAATATATATAACGGAGTAAAGAAAGAAAAAAAAAGAACATTCATTTAACAAAGGGGGAGGACATCATTAAAGAATAGAAGGCACGAGCGAATACATACATATATGAAAACAGACCAAGCCAAATGAACCAACTTATCTTGCAGTCGGGTTGGTATCTTCACATAAAGTTTTGATTCGCCGAAGCGAGAGTTCTGATGATAAAACAGTATCTTGGACGGCCGACAATGTTCCTGGATTCTTCTTCTTTTCGCGAGTGTTCGTGGGTCCCCAGCATTTCATACAGGCATTTGGTTGGTTTGTCAGTCCATAGCAGCCCTTTCACTCCCAGTCGACAGGCTTTTTGCTGTCTTCCTCATCTCAGTGGGCGGTCTGACGATTTTTGCCCAGCGACGTTCAACTACCGCTGGTCAGAGAAAACTGAAGAATCCTTTTTTTGGTTTTCGCTGTCCCCAACGACAGTCACGTATATCCCGATCACGTGAATCACAGCAGGAGACCCTGATGGTGCCTGGAATTCACTCATGGTCAAACGCGAAATCTTGGAACCAGGTCATGCTCGCGTCGGGTCACTTCGAAGTTCACGGGCCCTTGGCTTGTGGGTGGAAGAGAGGATAAGGAGAGAAAGAATTTGTGAAGAGAAAAGGAAGGATATGGCTGATCATAGAATATATTCGCTCGCGAGTCGGAAGCATTGGATTAAATTTCTGTTTTTATTTATTTATTTATTTTTCTTTTATATCTAACTAGTTTTCTTTATTTAAGATTTTACTTTAGCCTAACGCC